CCAACTCAAAAAAAAAAAAAAAAGATATATATAGCTTATATTACTTCCTCCACATATATAAAGTCAACTATACTTAGGAGTTAGGAATGTGGTGACTGGGCATGGTAGCTCATGCCTGTAATCCCAGCACTTTGGGAGGCTGAGGCAGGAGGATTGCTTGAGCCAAGGAGTTTGAGACTAGCTGGGAAACATAGTAAAACCTTGTCTCTCTAAAAAAAACAAAAAACAAAACAAACAAACAAAAAACCAAAAAATTAGCCAGGCGTGGTGTTGCACACCTGTAGTCCCCGCTACTTGGGATGCTGAGGTGGGAAGAATCGCCTAACCCAGGAAGTTGAGGCTGCCGTGAACTTTGTTTATACCACTGCACTCCAGCCTGGGTTACAGAGTGAGACCCCAACCCAAAAAAGATAAAGAGAAATTTAGTTGGGCTTGGTGGCTCAGCCTGTAATCCCAGCAGTTTGGGAGGTCGAGGTGAGTGGATTGCCTGAGCCCACGGGTTCGAGACCCACGTGGGCAACTTGGTGAGACCTCGATTCTACAATAAATCAAAAATTAGCCGGGTGTGGTAGCACATGCCTATAATTCCAGCTACTTGGAAGGCTGAGGCGGAAGGATCACCGGAGCCCAGCATGTCAAGGCTGTAGTGGCTGGAAGCGTGCCACTGCACTCCAGTTGGGTGACAGAGTGCGACTCTAACTCAAAAAAAAAAAAGAAAAAGAGAAATTTGGTCTTAGAAGACCTATGCTACTTTACTCATTTATTTTATTTAATACACCCTTCTATAGCTCCAGGTAGGTGGTTCACAAATACTAACTCACAGCCGGGCATGGTGGCTCAAGCCTGTAATCCCAGCATTTTGGGAGGCCAAGGTGAGAGGATTGCCTGAGTCCAGGGAGACCAGCCTGGGAAAATTGGGGAGACCTCTGTGGTAAATCACACAAAAAAAATTAGCTGGGTGGGCTGGCGCTTACCTGTGGTCCCAGCTACTTGGAAAGCCGAGGCCAAAGGATAGCTTGAGCCCAGTAGGTCAAGGCTGCAGTGGCCATGTGTGTGTTGCTGCACTCCAGCCTAGGCAACAGGGTGACATTCCAACTCTAAAACAAAACAAATACTACAGCTCACTTAAACCTTACTACCCTGTGAAAGTAAGCACTTTGTTAGGCCATTCCATGCTGCCTTGTGTGTACGTGGGGATGGTATTAGTATCTTCTGCATGTGGCTGTGCAGACCATGTGGTTACGGGCTTGCTTAGGACAGAGCCTGGCATATGTATGTTCAGGGACCATCAATATCAAGCTCGTTTCCTTTCCCTATAGGACTGCCTTTTTCCCTATAGGGCTGCTTTTTGTTACTATTATTTTATAAATAAGGAAACCAAGGCTCAAGGAAGGTTCAGAAAACTGAAAAGCAGTTAATAAAATAGAGTCAGAAATGTGTTTATTTAATGCGTTTTTGCCTTTTACTTGGGATTCCTTGAGGTCTTTAGGGCTAAAACATTAGTGCCATTTGGAAATCTCAGTAAAGTGGGTCTTGGCAAGCTTTCTCTTCTCAAGGACTAGAGATTGGGGTAATGAATGAAATTATAACAGCTGTTTGCTGCCATCTCCCTGGGAATTTGCTGTACACAGAGTTAACAGTGTTTAGTTATTGAAATTTTAGTCTCAACAGACTTGTGCTTCTTAGCTTTGAAACCTTATAGTTATAGAATCTAAGACTGGAGATTTCAAATATTCTCATATTCCAAATCTGCCTTTTCAGACCAAAATACAGGCAAAGATGGAAAAGCTGTCTTCAACTACCAAGGGAATTTGTGAACTAGAAGATTACCATTATGGAGAGGAGAGGAAACGACCCCCTTTGTTCCACACGTGGCCCACAGCCCATTTCTGTGAGTAATTCTTTGTCAGTTGATTTTCAGAAGGATAGAGGTTGTGAGAGCATTTAGCATCATTTAGAACTGATTCTCTAAGAAGCTGACAAGGCTTTGAAATTCACTGCAGAAGTATCCATCAGAAGGAAAGTAGACAGGAACATCCTAAAATAAACACTTCTTCTTGATTCTGATTACCTAATCATCAGCAGAGAATATTAAACATAATTAGAAACCCATGAAGATGGGAAAAATGAATCCTGCCTCCTCTGGAAGCAGAAGTCTGTAATTTGGGGTGGGGGTGGGGGGTTGTTTGTTGCTTTTTGTTTTGTTTTTTAATTAAAAAATAAATTGAGGTCACTGCAGCCAACCTCATGGGAGAAAACTACTGGGAGAAATGAAATTCTTTACTTAAAGAAGCTCCATGAGATGCCTCTTAAAGGCTAAGATATCTGATGTTGATTTAGGACTTCACTTTTTAAATAAGGGAGAAAAGGATAAAATCACCTAGTGTAAGTGAAATATTGACAGTTTATGGGGAATCTCCTATTTATAATAATTGCAGGTCACTTAAAGGTTAAATAGAAAAGATTATATTTACTTTTTTGGGGGGATTTATTGTAGAGACGAGCTCTCACCAAGTTGCCTAGGCTGGTCTCGAACCCCCAGGCTTAGGTAATCCTCTCACCTTGGCCTCCCAAAGTGCTGGGATTACAGGTAAGCCACTGCGCCCAGCCCTTTTTTTTTTTTGAGTTGGGGTCTTACTCTGTTGGCCAGACTGGAGTACAGTGACATAATCATGGCTCACTACAGCCTCCATCTCCTGGCTTCAGAGAGATACTTTCGCTTCAGCCTCCCAGCTAGCTGGGACTACAGGCGTGTGCCACCATGCCTGGCTAATTTTTTTTTTTTGTTTTATTATAGAGATGAGGTCTTGCCAATTGCCCAGGTTGGTCTTGAACTTTTAGACTCAAGCAATCCTCCTGCCTCAGCCTCCCAAAGTGCTGTGATTATAGGCATGACCATATTTACGTTTTTACCTCATCCTCTTTGTCATGTTATCTAATTGTACTAAACTGCATCAGGAGCTAGAGTGATCAATGCCCAACTGGTCCTTCTTTATCTCAGTTATATTACGGTTCTGGTTTTGTATGGGTTTGTTTATTGATACATATAGATGTACATGTTTTTGGAGTACATGTGATCATTCATACTACACTGATTCTGGTTTTTAACAAGGAGCTTTGAAAAGTATGGCTTGGCTGGACATGGTGGCTCACGCCTATAATCCCAGCATTTTGGGAAGCAGTGGTGAAAGGATTGCCTGAGCCCAGGGGTTTGAGACCAGCCTGGGCAACTTGGTGAGAACTCGTCATTACAATAAATAAAAAAATTAGCTAGGCATGGTGGCATGTGCCTGTAGTTCCAGCTATGTGGAAGGCTGAGGTGGAAGGATCGCCTAAGCCCAGCAGGTTGAGGCTGCAGTGGCCGTGAGTGTGCTCCTGTACTCCAGTCTGGGCGACAATGAGACTCTGACTCAAAATAAAAGTGTGGCTCATGCTTCTTTCAGACGAGCTTTCCTGCAAGCTCGCCGACATGTACAGGAAGGAGCTTCTCCTGAAGCGTGCTGTGGCAGAAGAGCTTGCACACACCGCAGACCACGATCTCGCCCTTAGCTACCTGTCCATGTGGCTGCACCAGCCCTACGTGGAGAGTGACAGCAAGCTGCACCTCGAGAGCATGCTGCTAGAAACAGGTCACCGAGCACTGTGACCTCCCAAGATGGCTGCCCCGTGAGCTGGGCCTGCAACTCCGCACCACAGGCTCCTTCCATGACTTCCCAGGTGGACAGTCTCGGTGCCGCACCCCAGGGTCAGACCCTAGGCGCCGGTGTGGCCACCTACCAGCCTTCCGAAGGTCTTCAGGTTGGATCACGTCACCAGCTTTGCGGCCCCTCCAGGCATGCCTACGACCCGTGGCCCTACTCTGCTTGGGCCATCCAACCATCCAGCCACTGAGAGTCTGTCACTCATGAGAGCTTCCGAGTGAAATAAATGAGTTCCTGAACAGAATGAGTGAGCGACCTGGTTTCTGTAAAGTAGGTGTACTTCACATATTACATTTGTGTCGAAAATCTCAAGGTTGAATATTTTTACTTTATACCTATCTATCTGTATTGTTCACATTTTTACGAGAATATATTAGTAGTCACAACAAATGTTTAAAATCCCATAGAGCTAACTGAGTCAAGTTTGACATCATAAAATGAAAATCACCTACAAATATATTGCCACTGTCCATACCCTGAGGGTGTGACAGGCCAAGTAAGCTACCTCCCATGTCATTTTTCTGGCACAAGTCCTCTAGTCTATTTGCAGCCATTTCCATGATTAACACACTAGGTTAGCACAAGGGAAAGGTGACATTTGACACAGACTGAAGAAGCTGGCCCAAACTAGGGTGTGGAGAGGACACTAAGTATCCAGAGCCTACCTAAAACTGTTCTTTTCTGTTACATTGCATATTGTATGGTCTCTTCATCTAAGTTTACCTTTTTTTTTTTTTTTTTTACCTTTCTCTCTTTTTTTTTGGTATTTTCACTCTCATGTCTAAGCTGATCTCGAACTCCTGGCCTCAAACAATCCTCCTACCTTCATCTCCCAATGTGCGAGGATTTATAGGCATGAACTACCATGCCCGGCCTGTGTTTGCCTTTGTATAAGTACCCTGATTCCAAATTATTTATATTTTGTGGGCCTGTGCATGTAGTGATAATAATAACTTTGAGTTTTTAAGAGATAAGGTCTCATCATGTAGCCTAAGTTGGGATCAAACTCCTAAGCTCAAGAGATCCTTCCACCTCAGCTTTCCAAAGGATTACAGGCACATGCCACTGCACCCAGCAACAATAGGTTTTTTTACATGTTTTAAATTATATTTTTAGAGACAGGGTCTTGCTCTGTCTTCTAGGCTGGAGTCAGTGGCGTGGTCATAGCTCAATGCAGGCTCAAGCGATCCTCCTGCCTCAGCCTCCTGAGTAAGCTGGGACTATAGGCGCATGCCACCACACCTGGCAATTTTTTTATTTTGTAGAGATAGGGTCTTGCTTTGTTACCTAGGCTGGTCTCAAACTCCTGTCCTCCTACCTCAGCCTTTCAAAGGACTGGGATTACAGGCATGAGCTACCATACCCAGCCAATAATAGTTTTTAATTAAGTCATTCTAGTTTCTTTATATTTAAGTATTAAAATCAAAATCTACTTATCTGGATTTATTAAGACTATTGTAACTTTAATTCACTAACTTACATGTGTAGAATTTAACAACTAGTTAAATTTATGGGCCTCTAGTTGTTAAATTGTAGAATTGTAACTTTAATTCACAAACTTATATGTGTAGAATTTCTATACAGGACCTCAGGAAACAATGACCTCTACTTCCTGCTGTGTCCTTTCACAGATGAGAAAACAGGCCAAGAATCAGGCATGCAGCTTTCCAAGGCAATGTGTTAGTCAACGGCCGACCTCAGATTTGCTTTCTTTTAGTTCACCCTGATTTACTGAGACCACAGCTGTAGCCCCAAGCCTCTATTTTCTTTTTATTTATTTTTTTGCTAAGTGGTTACCTACCACATGCTCAGCCCTGCACTCAGAACTAGGTACTCTGCTGGGCGCAGTGGCTCACGCCTGTAATCCCAGCACTTTGGGAGGCAGAGGTGAGAAGATTGCCTTGTCTAGGGGGTTCAAGACCAGCCTGGGCAACTTGGCCAGACCTTGTTTCTACAATAAATCAAAAAATTAGCCAGGCATGGTGGTCCACGCCTATAGTTCCAACTACAAGAAGGCTGAGCAGAAGGATTGCCTGAACCCAGCAGGTCGAGGCTGCAGTGACCGTGAGCATGCCACTGCACTCCAGCCTGGGCAACAGAGTAAGACTAACTCAAAAAAAAAAAAAAGAACCAGGGGCTCAGAAACAAATCAGAAATGAAATCCTTTAAAGAGACTTCTGGACCAGAAAGGCAGGCAGACTTGTAGTTCAACATGTGCAGTAATGTCATACACATGTATATGAAAGGGTATTCGATTCTATCATTGTTCCCTAGAAAAAGAAATCTAAAAACCATGCAATGTGATAGTGGGTGTAGCCCTATGAAACCAAAGTTCTTAGAGTACCAGGAACAAGTGCTTCCCAAGGAAAGAAAGAAAACATGTCAGCCGGGCTCGGTGGCTCAGCCTGTAATCCCACGCCTTTGGGAGGCTGGGGTGAGTGGATAGCCTGAGCCCGCGGGTTCGAGACCCGCCTGGGCAACTTGGTGAGACCTCATCTCTACAATAAATCAAAAAATTAGCTGGGCGTGGTAGCGCGTGCCTGTAATTCTGGCTACTTGGAAGGCTGAGGCGGAAGGTTCACTGGAGCCCAGCAGGTCGAGGCTGTGGTGGCCGGGAGCAGCCACTGCACTCCGGTTTGGGTGACAGAGTGAGACTCCAACTCAAAAAAAAAAAAAAAGAAAAAGAAAGAAAGAAAACATGTCAAAAATAAAAGACTATATGACAGGGATATATTGTGAGAGAAAGTTAGGATTTCTCACTGTGAAAGCTGACATATCAAAAGCATTTAAGCTGGGCACGGTGGCTCACGCCTATAATCCGAGCACTTTAGGAGGCCAAGGCAAGAGAATTGCCTTAGTCCAGGGGTTCAAGACCAGCTTGGGTAACTTGGTGAGACCTTGTCTCTACAATAAAGCAAAAAAGGAGCTGGGTGTGGTGGCACGTACCTGGGGTTCCAGGCTGAGGCAGAAAGATCACCTGAGCCCAGCAGGTCAAGGATGCAGTGGCCATGAGCATGCCACTGCACTCCAGCCTGGGCAACACAGAGTGAGGCTCCTACTTAAAAAAAAAAAAGAAAGAAAATATTTAAAGGCAATGTTTTCTTAGGATTTCTTTCTTTTGCCTTTGCTATATTTATTAAAACCTAATATCGCCGGGCTTGGTGGCTCAGCCTGTAATCCTGCGCCTTGGGAGGCTGAGGTTAGTGGATTGCCTGAGCCCGTGGGTTCGAGATCTGCCTGGGCAACTTGGCAAGACGTCACGTCTACAATAAATCAAAAAATTAGCCAAGCGTGGTAGCGCGCGCCTGTAGTTTCAGCTACTTGGAAGGCTGAAGCGGAAGGATCGCCGGAGCCCAGCAGGTCGATGCTGGGGTGGCCATGAGTGTGTCACTGTGCTGCGCTCCAGCCTGGTTGATGAAGTGAGACTCCACCTCAAAAGAAAAAGAAAAGAAGCCAAGGCAGGAGAACTACTTGAGCTCAGGAGTTTGAGAGTAGCCTGGGCAACATAGTGAGACCCTGTCTATATAAAAATAAAAGAATCAGCTGGGCATGGTGGTGCGGGCCCATAGTCCGAGCTACTCCCCAACTCAAAAAAATTAAAAAAGGCACTCAGACATCTTGTAGTCCGGAGACAGCATGGTGGGCCTTTGGCAAAACAGTGTTGTCCCACAGGGGCTTCCCTGCTTGCTGAAGAATCAGGGTGCTGCCAGGAGGCTCCGCTCACCAGCTAGGAGGCCCCGCTCACCAGCTAGGAGGCCTTGGTATGAGGTCCATCGGCAGCCAGTTTTATGTTTGGGGGGGTGCTTAAAGAACAAACGCTCTTCAGAGGAAACACTGTAGGCTTCTGTGCTGTGAATAGGCCCTCTAGGGCATTTTCACGTGTTTTGTTTTGTTTTTTGAGTTGGAGTCTCACTCTGTCACCCAGACTGGTGGCCACTCCCGGCCACCGCAGCCTCGACCTGCTGGGCTCCGGCGACCCATCCGCCTCAGCCTTCCAAGTAGCCGGAATTATAGGCATGCGCTACCACGCCTGGCTGATTTTTTGATTTACTGTAGAGATGAGGTCTCGCTGCCCAGGCGGGTCTCAAACCCGTGGGTTGAGGCAATCCACTCACCTCAGCCTCCCAAAGGCATGGGATTACAGGCTGAGCCACCGAGCCCGGCCTCATGTGTTCTTGATGCACTCCCCAGACACCAATCAGCGGGTTGCTATGGAGAGCTGATGGGAAGGATCAATACTGCTAAGGACAACAGATGTTAAAGTGCTAAGTCATGAACAAAAGTCATGCATCTGTCAAGCTATCTCTCTCTGACAAGAACAATGAAGACATTGAGATCGATACCGGCCTATAGTTGAGCCTAGAGCCACAAGTTGAGGGATCATACACAGTTATGTACTCCACTTTCAGAAATCCTGTCAAAGTGAATATGAAAAGCTAGAAATCAGGCCGGACACAGTGGCTCAAGCCTGTAATCGCAGCACTTTGGGAGGCCAAGGCGAGAGGATTGCCTAAGCTGAGGGGATCGAGACCAGCCTAGGCAACTTGGTGAGACCTGTGAGTGTGTCACTGGCACTCCAGCCTGGGCAATAGAGTAAGACTCCAACTCAAAAAAGAAAAGAAAAGAAAACCTAGAAATCCACAAAATCAACGAGAACAGAATTGGGGAAGAATTTGGTTATGAATTCATAAGTACAATTTTTAAAAATTAAAACAATGTATAACTCCAGAAAAAACAAAAGCTTATACAAAGGCTAAAAAGTTTATCACAATGTTCCACACATGGCTCAGCTGTCAACAGTATTTTCATTTCATAAATAATAGTGAGGGCCAGGTGTGGTGGCTCACACCTATAATCTAAGCACTTTGATAGGCCGAGGTGAGAGAAATTCCTGAGCCCATAGATTCAAGACTAGCCTGGACAACTTGGCGAGACCTCATCTCTACAATAAATCAAAACATTAGCCAGGCGTGGTGGTGTGTGCCTGTAATTCCAGCTACTTAGAAGGCTGCAGTGGAAGGATCACCTGAGCCCAGCAGGTCGAGGCTGTGGTGGCCGTGAGCATGCCACTGCACTCCAGGCTGGGTGACAGAGTGAGACTCCAACTCGATAAAATAAATAAATTAAATTAAAATAAACAAAATAAAACAAAGGAACTCTACTGTTGATGGGACCAGCCTAATCAGCCATTTATGCTGTTCACCAGATGTTCCTGGTGTCCTGCTTTCCAATGCCCATGGAAAGCCTGCACTTCATGCTAGTCCCGGCCACTTGAGTTGTGAGAAATGTGCCCGTGGCGGGTCTGTCTGAACTCTCGTTAGGTTCTCTCCCTCTGGCATGGCCACCAGCAGTGTTTGAGATGTGGCTGCCCTAACCCACTGTGTCCCATGCCTGGCCTTGACGAGCAGATCCCTCCCACCATGTTGCGTGAGCGAGATACACACCTTTGGCGCTTTAAGCTGCTGAAGTTTGGGAGCTGCTACTCTAGCCTCTCCAGACTGAGCCACAACAATTTTAACCATATTGGAAGATGGGGGTGGGCAGAGTCTGCTGGTGGTTCTGTATTGATTCTTCATTTTTGTTTTAGCTAGCATGTGGCTGCCAGCTTGGGAATAGGTTTCAGAACCTTCTGTATAACCAGGTGTGGCCATGTGACTACGAAGATGTGAGTAGAGGCCATGAGTGCAGCTTCCAGATCATGGCCCTTAAAAGATGTGTGCTCTTGCCCTTCTCTCATGGGATGGAGCAGGCACAGGAGGGGTGGTGAGCCTTCTTTGATCTCGGGGACAAGAGGCACCTTGGGGAGCAAGGAAGCAACCTGGGTCTGGAGCCCTTTGAAGCAAGGCCACCCAACTTCCCGAATGCCTATCAGTTCATGCTTTCACTTGAGAAATAAAATTCTATCTGGCTGAAGTTACCACCACCCCAGTTATGCTTACTAAAGCAGCCAGCTGACCGACTTAGTGGGAGGAAGGGAAACGTACCTGTGAGTGGCAGTGATGGCCAAAGGGGTGGCATGGGATGTGTTCATGAGTCCACAAGTAACGTCTCAAATGGAAAACCAAGAAGCTTGTTACGTACTGTTGCAAACAGAAATGCCAACAGAGACAGCTAAAGGCTTGAAGGTAGTTACCTTAACAAGCTAGGGATGGTTTTTGTGGGTTTTTAAAAAAAATACGTCTTAGAGAATTGACACTTTAAACTATATGCATGGCCAGGCACAGTGGCTCACTTCTGTAATCCCAGTTCTCTGAGAGGCTGAGGCAGAAGGATTACTTCAGCCCAGGAGTTTGAGAGCAATATAGTGAGACCCTGTCTCTACAAAAATATTTTAAAAGTTAAAAAAGAAAAAGATAAATGAACCCCACTTCTCTCCCCATGACATAGCCCAGGAAAACATTCAAAAGAAAAGAGACCCTGATAAGTGACTCTGTAAGCAGGACATCAGAGAATTGGGATTGGATCTAACCTGAGCTCCATCTCACCACAGTCCTCCAGCAAATCATCCTATCATCAATGTCTTACTCTCTTCATCCATAAAATGAGAGTAAAAATGACATTTTTTCCCTGCTTCTTAATAAAATGCTGTCCAGGATGGCTAGCGTGTTTTTTTTTAATTGGACCCAGAAGAAGCTTCTAGTATGAACCAAGTCTGGTAGAAAAGCAGCTTGTCGCCCAGGAGAGAAGGGAGCATTGTTTCCTAGGAACGGGGAACGGGATACTCAAGTAACATGTAGTGACATTCATCACAACAGTCATCGAAAACTTGTGAGAATTACATGACCAAGGGGATTCAGGATCTGGTGCCATATCTGCCAGTATTACAATGAACACTAGAGAAACACGTAAACAGTAAGGTAAAAAGACATTATTCTTTATAAATAAAAGGTTCCTTTGCATCAGTACTCACATTAGAAAAATATAGGCTGCTTTTAAGAGACCTTCTTTGGATGAAATACGTACAGATCTAGGATCTGACTCCTTTTCACTATGAGGGCTCTGCCTCCAAGGTGAAGAACGACTCCATGGTTTCGAAAGGAACTCCTGGTGGGGCCATCTGCAGGGCAGACCCCTCTGCGTTGGCCACTATGACAATATCCTCCTCCTGAGACACAACTGTATCTGGATGGGACAAGATAAGCCCATCGGAAGTCCGAATAAAAATCTGCTCCTGTCCCTGAGACAATAACTCATGGCACCCATTGGCAATTTCAAAAGCCATGGCTTCACCCACAGCCACCACGCTCTCTGGTTCTCTCTGGCCAGCATGCACCTCCATCCCACAGGGAAACTGGCTCAAGCCCCCCGTGGGGCTTCTGGGCCCTCCTTCAGTAGACAGTGATCCATCTGGGCCAGGCTGAGGCCCCAGCTTGGATACAATCCTGCAGGCACAGTCCCGTGGTGTGCTATCCATGGACAAATTCTCAAGTGGAAGTGTGGCAAGGCCTGAAGGCAGCATGTCGTGGGAGCTGGGCTGTTGGCAGCTTGGGTGGGAGTCGCACACAGCAAAGAGGCTTCCTGCCTCTGTGCTTCCAGACCCACCAAGCAGCATGGTCTCTGCTCCTCCTCCACCGGATGGCAAGGTGCTGCAGACACGCGGCCTCCTCAGGCTGTCCCCAGCATCCTGGTATGAAGAGTGTTCTGGAGCGTTGTCCCCGGGGAATGCTGTCACCTGCGCATGCGTCAGTCTCCCGGGCTCTCCTAACTGAGGATATAGAACCGGCCGGCTGACGTCCCGACATGAGGCAGCCATACCTGCAGGCCTACTCCTGGCTTCCAAGTCAGCAAAGGCCTGGAGCTGCTGGCCTGCACACAGCTCGCTCCCATTGCCACCAGAAGCTGTGGCCATGTGGTTTTCTTCAGACGGGGCAGAGGTGCGCCCATTTACTAGAGGGACCACACCTAAGCAGTCAAAAGACAGGAAACATACATGCGGCGTCAGGGCCTACTCACCACATTCCCTTCCTTGCAAAGAAGTCAAGATAGGAATTCTCACTATTGGAACTGGCAGAATTTTTAACATTAGTCCCTATTATCTATTCATAAAGATAAATTTTGTATTAAAATGTGTTCTGAGCCATTTAGCAGTGTGATTTTGAACCAATACTGCATGAATGATGGGTGGTTCCTCATCAGATCTGGAAACCACCCAAGAGGCCTTTCCTGCACCTTTCCAGCACTGGTGTCCACCCATCCCAACAGCTCTACCTACACTCAGGCCCCATGTTTCACAACAACCTCCCCCTGGCGATTCTGACACACACCCCCAATTAAGAATCGTTGTCCTGGGCTGTATTCGTTACAGAGTCTTCAGCACCTGGGACAACACAGGGTACAGAGCAGATACTTAAGCACTGTCTGGTAAACTGCATTGAAAGGTAGGGCTGATCACTTAGCTTCCAGGTATGTATGAAATAAAAGAGGAAATACCGACTAGCTAAGTGAGAAAAGCTGTGTTCCAAACAGGGCCGGCAGCTTTCACTGTAGCCACTGAACAGATCTGCCTTCCCTATGGCAGAATGACGGGATGAGGCCTAAAATGGATATTACCTCTTCCACCTGAGGCCCTGAGATCAGGCAATATGTCAAGTGGCCCTAGTATGATGTGAGAAAGGTACTGTATTATTCTCAGTATGCCATGTATCCAAAATGTCGAGTTGATAGGTTCTGGCTACAGCCAGAATGAAAGCCAGAACATAACTTGATTTCAAGTGTCAACTCTCAGCTGGCATGTACAGCCATGTCTCATGAAATCCAAATCCTAGAGATGTGTGTTCTGGGGACTGGTCTCTGCCCAACCTCCTGGGACCCTGCTGGATGCAATCTGCTCACTACCATGAGGCGGCTCTCCATTTTATCAAGGCTGGAAAATCCCAAAGACCTCAAGACTCCCAGGGAATGAACATGGAACGAAAGAGCATTGGGAGATTGGGACAAAACTTGAGAAACCAGAAGTTTCTCTTAAACTCAATAAGAGGGGCACCCAACCCTGAAAAACAGCATCCCAGGCATATCTGTGCATTGCTACAGGGCCGCCAAGGCACAGGGCACACCCCATGGACAGCATTTTACCCTCACTGACAGCCAGAGCCTGCAAGGGCCTGGGCTCCTCCTGGCCTCCGCTGTCAGCAGCAAGAGATTCAGTGGTGTCTGTGGGCAGAGCTTCTCTTCTGGTCCTCTTCACTGAGGCCAGCCCCTTCTCTGCAGCCTGTGAAAAGAAGACCCAGTTGGCTAAGACAAGGAGGCAACAGGCAAACTGGCACCTCTTCTTCCTGGAGAACAGGGCTGTGAATGGAAGAAGCCAACCCACACTAATTCAGTGTGAACAGACAGTGACCTGGCGCCCCCTGAAAACCATGCCCACCTCATTTTCCCTCTTCTTTCTGCCAGCTTCCTCTAGGTGCTCCCCATCCATCTCTATGCTGGGGCTCTCAGGTGGAATGCAGTCTGACTGTATTTTTTTCTTCCTCAGGAATTCTTCTGTGATTCCTAGTGACTCAGCAACCTGGAGAGAAAGAGGCCAGTAGAAATAGGCTTCACCCCAAACAGCTACAAGTCTCCAGAACCATCTTCACACATAATTAAACAACTGAGTTTAAATCTAGGAAGTTCCTTTGTACAGTGAGGTACAAGAAAAAATGAAGAAAAATATCAAGTTAGATGGAACAGCTGATGATGAAAGGATCATTATCCAAAACTAGAAGGTTCTGTGGGAGCACAGTTTAGAAGAGACTAAGAGTCTTTGTCCAAAATGTAAAACACTGTGAATGCTATCAAGCTTAGTGATGGGAGTTGATGCCAAGGTAACTTTCTTGCCACTATCCATCCTTTTCAGAATTCTCACTGGTCTCTGCCTGTCCCATGCCCAGATTGCATTCGCAGTGCGGGAAAAGGCATGGGTCTAGGGCCTGAGAGGATCCCAGCCTCCTGCTCACAGCCTAGGAGACAGTGGCAAACCACCTATCTCCAGGTATCCCTTATCCATCTCCCTGTGTTTCCTTATCTGTACCGGAGATTACGGCTGCTTGGAAGGGTTTCTGTGAAGATTAGGTTCGATTCCAGATGCAAAGCCTACATAAAGCACCAGAAGTAAAGGTATTGATAGCTGTTACCAATCACACATGGATGTTATAAAGAGAACCCACAGTGCATGGGGTAGGGGTGGGTGCAGAAGAAGGGCAGCAGAACAAGGCTAAGGAGGAAACAGGCCATGTGGCTTAGCGCCAACAAGCATGGACAGCATCTGCTTACAAACCGAGCCCCTGTGTTCCAAAGAGGCAGCAGCAGTACAGTCTAAGCTGCCCAAAAAGATGGATTTCGATGGGCGTACAGAACACCTGTGCATGTCCAGCTCTGCCTCATGGCAGGATGATACCACATCTGCTGGACTTAGAGTTTAAAAACCATGTGGGTGACTACTGTGTGAGTCAGCTACATGTGGCTCAGCAAAAAACTCCATTACATTTTGTAATCTATTGTTTAACAAAATAAAATACAAAGGCTCATTAGAGACTATATTAAACAATGGATTTGTGTAAAACTAACAACAACAATCAGTAAACCCCTCCCAAAAAGCATGTATGACATTATAGTGTGAACTAGACTCCCTGTCGCAGAAGCATCAGTAACACATGCTGGGGTGCTAATCTTGCTAGCAGATAGGCAGATCCATCTGTTTTATAAAATGGGAATTGGTTTTTCTAAAAATTCTCCATTGTTGTATGTGTAATAGTTAATTTTTTTCTTTAATAGACGAGGGACCATTTCACACCATGGCAGCATTGTGAGAGTCAGAAAGGACCATTTAATTCAATGCTTCCCTTTCACAGAGGAGAAAGTTGAGAGCCAGAGGGGTGCAGGGACCCTGTCAGAGTCAGTGACTGGGGCCAGAAGCCAAATCCCCACCCGGTGATGTGAAAGGTCATTTGGGTGATTGGACTGCGTGATGTGTACTTCGCCCAGCAGTTTTATCCAAAACGAGTAAAACCACTTCAGTTCAAAACTTATTTTTTTAAAGAACCCAATATAGCTAAAGGCAATTTGATAGTGACAATGACACTGAAATGAGAATTGTGTCAGGACAACCACAAATAATAACTACTGGCCCACATGTAACCCACCCCCAAACTTGCCCAGAGAAGAAAACTCTGCCTTAGGTATTTACTGTGATCATTGGTGAGGGGGGCAGTTACGGTGTTTTCAGTTTTGTTTTAGCTTAACTGCATCTTTTTTAGTTTTCTGGAAGAGTGTTTATTACTCTAAGAAGAAAAATTTCACTTGATGGGAAAAAAGCTAAAAAGCAGTTGACTGGGAAGACGTCATCCCTGAAACATGCTCTTTCTCTCCTAGGCTTCCTTTTCCTTGCTAACTCTAACAGCAAAACGCTTCTCATCATGTGGGATTGTTACCTTATTATTGCTTATTTCCAGGTGCTCCTGAGAGCATGGGCCAGAACTACTGAGGTAATCTTGACACAGTTTCTTAACCATTTTATGCAACTCTTCAAATTCCTTATATACGGCTGGGAAAAAAGGCTTTGCTATTTGACCTTTTTCAACCTTCATGAAGATAAAGATAAAAAAAAGTTTAAACCCGAGGCAATGATATGGAAAATACAGAAGGAAATTTAAACACACGACAGAAGGATGCAAGTTCCTCAACCCCTGAGCAGTCCCTCAATGGTGGGCGTTTCCTTCACTCCCCAGCGGGCACCTGCTGCATGCCCCACAAGGCACAGGAAGGCCAGGAGGGGCCGGGGAGGCGCAGGCCAGTAGACTAACCACCCTTGGGTGTAGGCCACAGAGGGCACAGGTGAGCGCCAAGGGCAGGACGGGAAAGGAAGGCAGAAAGGCCCTGAGGTCAGGATGGGCCTTCAGCTCTGGAGGGACACACTGACACTGGCCATCTGTGGGAAATATGGAGCACGGGTGGCCTGGGCTGCAGCCTCAGAGTGGGCCCAGAGGGAGCAGAGACCAGGGTGGTAGAGGCCAGCCGGGTGGGTGCCAGGAGGACCCAGGCTGGCCACAGTTTGAGGCTACCATTTTCAATCCTCCCACACCAAGTTAAAAGTCAAGGAGGTGGATGAGTGACTGTCCAAGAGACCCAGCCACACAGGCACCAACCCCTATGCTGGGTACGGCGGTCTGACCAGCAGACTCCTTTCAGCTCTGTGCTGGAGCAGGGAAGCGATCCCAAACAGCCTGGCTCTTTCTAAAATGAACCTGAAGGACACCTTTCTAAAGAACTTCACATTGTCCCACTATTGTTTAGAGTCACTGAGAAGACTCACCTTCATCAGAAGAAACTCATACACGGTCAGGACCTGCGCCAGTGGAGGGAGCGCCAATTCCACCAGGTCTTCCCGGTCACACTGCTGGAGAAGCTGCCGAGAAAGCATTGGGCACCTTTGAAAGCCCCACTAGATTTCCCAATAGCCAGCAAGCTGGTGCAATATGGAACATCAACAATAAAAAGGTCCCCCAAAACTTCCAAAACTAAGCAACTCTAAACCATAAACACTCTGCTTTATCATTAACCAAGTACTATGATCCACTCTGGGTTCAAAGTTTGAGTCCCCACAAGCTCTGCGCACTGTCCCAGGTACCAGGCTCTGAAGTAAGAATGCAGCAATGAGGAATGCATGTCCTGCCCTCTAGGGCTCACTGAAGCTGTGCCACGTGACCTACTGACTGAGGGCTCAGGTGCACAGAGCACAGCAGTGCAGCTGCGTTCAGCACCTGGGGACTGGCAGTCAGGAGGGCTAGGAGGGGCCCGATTGCTTGGGTTTCTTTCTAGGATGGGTGTGGGGGAGGTTTTAGGCAGGGCTTTGGGTGCTAGTGCAGAGAATGGCCGGGGCTGGAGACCCTGCAGGTGGCAGGCAGGCAGGAGAAGATGAGGATGGGGTGTGGCTGGAGGAGGAGCCCACAGTCCTCTGGGGAGGGGCGAGTCAAGTATGGCTCTGGGCTCCCAGATTCAGCCCCTGGGCAAGGGAAGTGGCCCTTGACAATGCAAGGGTGGACAGGAAGCCGGCCAGTAGGCCCTGCTCAGACATGGAAGGACACCCAGGTGCAGAGTTCCAAATAAGATATCCAGTGCTCCAGAGAGATCTGACAGGAAGCACAGTCGTGGGAATCTGCAGAGGGAGAATGGCTGGAGAAACCTGGGGGATGCGTGGGATCCCCACGGAAGCCATGCAGGAAGGGGAAGCGGAGCAAGTCCTAGAAACAAGGTCTTCCGAAGTTCAGGGAGGTCATGAGAGTGCTTAGGAAGAGAGGTGAGTAGGGGGCCGGCGAGAGCTGCAAGGAGTTCCAGGAGGGCCTTGGTGCTCAGAAAACAGGCATAAAAGCAGAAGGACAACCTTTTCATTTGTAAGACGAAAATGTTTAATTATTCACTTTCAAAAACTCTTAAAAAAATAGCTTCATTTCCAACTAGACAAGAAGTTCAGGAAGATAGGGACTGTGGGCATCACCTGGCTGTGACCTGGCCTAAACACTGAATGAGCTACATCACAGCAGTCAGGGCACCTCCTCAATTTTCTGCTCAATGCCTCACGTCCACCTGATGGTTCTGTCAACCAACTGGCTTGACTGTCATCTTTCTCACCCAGAGTAGGGGCCACATCTGTCTGGGGTACATTGTTCTTTCTGTACCCAGGCCAGGGCCTGATACTTGATGGACACCCAGTAAACGTTTACATCAATGTCCATTTCGGGTGGAAATAATCATCTGTAAGAGTTAAGAATGGACCCAAAAACCATTTCCACTTAGACAACTGTTTCCATTGTCTTCTGTTTCCATATAAACACAGTTTAGAATTATTCCAAAACTTAGAAAGGCAAGTAGCACTGGAAGATACATCAAAGGCCCCATGGTCACGTTAAACAGGTAGACCTTTAAACTCTTTCAGATAATGGTCCTCCAGTTCTCTGTGGGTTAGTCGGGGCATTTAGAAGATCAAGTTGACAGCATCATCATGTCAGAGTCACGGGCACAGACTAGACCAAGCCTTGCTGATCTGATGCCCTCTCACACACTCTTACTTAATGGATACCAAGTAACCTGGATTCAAATTCTGAATATGCCACCTAACTGAAGGGTTACTTTGTACAAGTTACTTAGTCTTTCTGAGTTTCAGGTTTCTCATCTATTAGGATGGGATAACAATCATTATGGAATATATGAAATGAGGCCTTCTCAGGGCTTAACACTGAGGCACCAGGACTGATGGGGTTGGGTTACTGCACAGAAAGTGCCTAGTAAATTTAACACCTTTTGTTTTGAGTTAGGATCTCCCTCTGTTGCCCAGGTTACTGCAGCCCTGAACTCCTGGACTCAGGTGATCCTCTTGCCTCAGCCTCCTAAGTAGCTAAATTTTTTGTAGAGACAGGGTCTCACTATGCTGCCCAAGCTGCTCTCCAACTTCTGGGTTCGAGCAATCCTCCTGCCTTGGCCTCCCAAAGTGCTGCAAAGTGCTGGGATTATAGGCATGAGCCACTGCCCCTGGCTGGCCGGCCTGCCTACCTGCCTGCCTTCCTTCCTTCCTTCCTTCCTTCCTTCCTTCCTTCCTCCCTCCTTCCCTCCCTCCCTCCCTCCCTTCCTTCCACAGGAAGTTCAGGAAGATAGGACTGTGGGCATCACCTGGCCTTTCTTCCTTCTATCTATCTATCTATCTATCTATCTATCTATCTATCTATCTATCTACCTACCTACTATCTATCTATCTATCTACCTGCCTACCTACCTACCTACCTTCCTATCTAAGTTGGAGTCTCACTCTGTTGCCCAGGCTGGAATATGGTGGCATGATCATGACGATCACAGCTCATGGTAGCTTCAACCTCCTGGGTTCAGGCAATGAGCCATGGAATATGGAAGCATATGAATCTCCTGAGTAGCAGGTCTATGGACATGTGCTACCATGCCCAGTTTTTTTTAAATTTTTAAAATGTTTTTTTTTTTTGAGTTTTGGAGTCTCACTTTGTCACTCAGGCTGGAGTGTAGTGGCAAACCTCAACCTGCTCGGCTCAGGTGATCCTTCTACCTCAGCCTTCCAAGTAGCTTGGACTACAGGTGTGTGTCACCATGCCCAGCTGATTTTTTGATTTATTGTAGAGACGAGGTCTTGCCATGTTGTCCAGGCTGGTCTCAAATCTGCGGGCTCAGGCAATCCTCTCGTCTCCGCCTCCCAAAGTGCTGGGATTACAGGTGTGAGCCACGATACCTGGCCTATTTTTTTTTATTTTTTGTAGAGACAAGGTCTTACTATATTTCCCAGGCTGGTCTCGAACTCCTAGGCTTAAGCAATCCACCCATCTTGGCCTCTGAAAGTGGTGGGATTATAGGCCAGTGCACCCAGCCTAGCCTTGCTTTAATTTCAAAAACCTAATCATGATAGCCACATACCATACCTAAGAAATGAGTTCTAAGCTCAGGGCTGTGAGAGTGCAGTACCTCCTTGAGTATAGCTGTACTCCTGGATGACCTCTGTCCCCCTGCCGCATCAGAGGCCTCCAGTGGCTGGGCCTCCCTTCTCTGCTGGAGGATGAGTGGGCTGGGCTCTGCAGAGGTCTCAGGGTATCTGCTGCTTCTAGGTCCCAGGTGTCTCTCTGATCCCAAAAGAGCCGAGTAATTTCCACTTTCTAGTTCAGACAGCAACGTCTCTTCAACTTCCACAGACTGGCCATTCTAGATAGTGTTGCACACCCAAAAATAAAATACAGTAATTATGCCTTATACACCACCACAAAAACGTCAAAGCAAAAAATGGCAAGTCCAAAGCAAGGAAGTTGCTGGATCATTTCCTCTTTGCATAATCAAGACACATTAACTACAATCAATGTATCTTAAGCTTTCCCATTAAAAAACCCGTTTAGGCTGAGTGCAGTGGCTCTACACCTGTCATCCCAATATGTTGGGAGGCCAAGGTGGGAGGACTGCTTGAGTCCAGAAGTTCAAGACCAACCTGGGCAACATAGTGAGACCTCATCTCTACAAAAAAAAAAAAAAAATCAAAAAAATTAGCTGGGTGTGGTGGCACCTATACTCCCAGCTACTTGTGAGGTTGAGGTGGGAAGACTGCCTGAGCTCAGGAGGCTGAGGCTGCGGTGAGGCTGCAGTGAGCTGTGATCATGCCACTGCACTCCAGCCCAGATGACAGAGTAAAATCCTAAATTAATTTTTTAAAAAGATAAAAAGAGCCAGGCTTGGTGGCTCAGCCTGTAATCCCGCGCTTTGGGAGGCTGAGGTGAGTAGATTGCCTGAGCCCGCAGGTTC